ATCCTATTCATAGGGCCGGCCCCATGGCTTGGTGGTTGAGTGCGCGCGCTCCGCTACTGGCGGCCCAGATTTGGATCCCAGGCGTGCACCAAAGCACTGCTTCTCCGGCCATGCTGAGGCCACATCCCACATACAGCAACTAGAAGGATGTGCAGCTATGACGTATGGCTATCTACTGGGGCTTTGGGGGAAAAAAGAGGAGGAGGATTGGCAATAGATGTTAGCTCAGAGCCGGTCTTCCTCAGCAAAAAGAGGAGGATTAGCACGGATGTTAGCTCAGGGCTGATCTTCCTCACAAAAAAAAAAAAAATCCTATTCATACCTATAAAAAAATAAAACAATCAAGTGATATCTTTGGTAAACATTGGCTGAATAACCTTCATAGAACATGCACAAAAAATGCTTCGATTAAACTTGAGACTCCTTTATCTGATGACAAACTATGCTGTTATCCATTTCAAAACCTATTCAGAATTAGAAACGTTGAACAAAACTTACATTTAAAACTACTCATTTTCTTCATTAATTCTTCTTTACTAGGCTTTCTTATTAAATGTGCACACTATAGAGTTAACCCAGTCCAGAACTACACTGCTTTGTGCACTCCATCCTATCTTTCTTCCCCAGGTAAAGTTTTTATTGAAGTCATGGTAATTTTGCCTTAAAAAACAACCAGTAATTTGACATTTATTGAAAGACTTCTGTGATCACAGATATTCAGTGAGAATAGGACTCATGATGAAAATAAAAATAAGAAGATGATAAAGGACATGTTCTAGTCCTTCTGAAGGAATTCACAATCCACAAAATAACATGTACACATGAGCACAGGCACACAAGCGTGTACATACACAGCTCTTGTTTCAGATAAGTGGATGAATATGGTAAAAACTGGAGGGCTGAATATTTAAGGAGCAAGAGGACCTCTGAAAGTGGAGGGACCAGAGTGACAATGGAGTTAATCTGTAGAGCTTCTAGAAACATAGTGAAACGAATAACATTGCTTGTCACCAAAGTAGTCCCAAGTCTGATTAAACCATTTTTGTTTCACAAGCGTTATTTCACCAATGCTTCTCAGTACTTTACTAGAGTTTTTACTTAAATTAAAACCTTAAAAAGTTGTTTTTAGAAGAGGTAAAAGGTCACAGGTTGGGGAGACTCTAGGGCGACTGAAAGACACAGGAAAAAGTTTCCAGGCCAGAAAGAGCAAGTCAAGAGCAAAAGGAAGTTGAGGCTGGTGAGAACATGATGTCTACACAGGATTCGTGAAGAACAAGGCAGACAATTCCCCAAGGATAAATGACGGAGGAAGGAGGGACTTTTAAAATCAGGTTGAATTGCTCCAACAGGCTGTAAGGAATTATGGATCCCACCCGCATTCTCACATCGTGATTACTCTCACTTTATATATGTTTTTGCTTAAATCACTTTAAGCCAGTCACCTAAAGCAAAGATTAGTAAAAATAAGATCTACTATAATGATATGTGTTCAGCCTCTGCCTACAGGATCTCAAAGCATGTCAATGCAGCAGAAAATAAGCAGTTATCTGATATAAATAGAAAAAAAAACCCAAGCACTAATTTACATTTTTAATTGTCATTCCTCTATTAGTGAATGTTCGTGTATTGTCTAAGACTTCAGTAATCTGAGGGTGACTCTGCCTTTATACACGTAGCAAATCATTGAGGAAACAGTCAAGCCAGCGTGGACTCTGTTTCCAATTATTGACATGACTAAGAAAAGCTGAACACGACCACATACCCAACAAATGCGCTTTACGTGTAGCTTTTCTATCACTTGTATTTGCACTTATTAGGGACTCAGTAAATGGTTTTTGAATTAAAGAGATTAATTTGCCTCTTTACAATGTGATTTGCACTACATGCAAAAAGAACTTCAGTGACATCAATTAACCCAGACAGTTAATGGACGGGAGACTCACCCTTCAAGCCATACCAAGAGCAAAGGCAAAAGTTTTGAGTTGCAGGGGCAGCCCAGTGACCAACCCTTAGCAGAATAAACACAGCTCTATCTATTGTGTTTGTTTGCATTTTCATTTAAAGGAGTAATTCTGCAGTGGCTAAACAGAGTATTGTGAGCAATGGGTCCCTTTGGTAAAAATTAAAGATTTATAAGCAAAAGATAAATGGATGTTGCTAGAAATTTGGGAACCTAATTTACAAGTATCCCCACTAAAAATTTTCAACAATAAAACTCAGATATCATATTGACTTTTATTGTGTTCCTGTAAAATTTTGTGGAGAGAGATTATTTACAGTGTTAGAAAACAATGACTTTGCTGGAGAAATTTTCTTGAGGTTGCAAGGTTGGTCAGTTAATACTCTGGCCATGAAACAACTGTGTCCTTTAGCATTTGTCATGCAGAGCAAACAAAGGTTGAGCAGCTGAAAGTAACTGTCATACCAAAAATAGATGAGAATGATCCGTCCTGCATATACAACTCAAATACTTTCAGGGAAATGAGAGTGTTACTACTTTTGCCAGATAATAGAAGGTCATAGCCAACGGAGTAGAATGGCAGCCAGGGATCAGGGCATGGAAGATTCAAAGTTCCCACACTCAGTGGATTTCTGGAGGAAGACGCGTGGGGAATCGCAGTGCTATGAAAGGAGTGTTGTCTTTTCTGAAGAGGTTTTTGCTGCTTTTATCCCATAGCTAGAGGCTGCTTCAAGTGATGCTTGCAAAAGTCATGTCACTAAACAGGCTCTGAGTCCTTGGATAAGATCATAGCCTTCATGCACCTTTCCTGGGCATGGGAACTTGGCCTCTATTTTCAGCTCCGTTATCAACCATCCAGCAGTAGGCCAATTTTTACTGAGGGATATCACAGCCCCAAGCAGGAATATAAAGACTTCATAGTCCTCACCTTCAAGAAGCTTACAATCTACTTAGACAACACACACACATCCATAATGAGTCCATTTTCTAGGCAGTACCTCATTTCCACATGAGCAATAGAGGAGCCCTCAGGAAAGGGAGAGCTTTCTTCAGACGAGAGTGGCCGGTGCTCTTTGCAATAGTGCAGGATATGTTGCAGCAGGGTGACTTCTATGGGGGAGGAAGAGCCCAGGAGAAGGGAAGGAGCAGGTCTGTGACCAAGCGCTGGTTCTTGGGACAGGCTAATCCCCGTCCTCCACACAAGCTTGCATGTGTCATGGGCTGTCTGAGGGACACTGGCAGGGCAGCCCTCCACTCACTGCTCAGCCTGATGGGGTTCTCATGAGTGGAACCTCTCTTTACCTTCTTGCCCCACTTATTCTTCTGCTAAAATTACAATCTACTCCACTCGAAGCTCACAGAGAGAAACAGAGAGCCAGGCCAAGAGCAAATTTTTCTACCTAATCTCAATCTTCCTTTTTTATTAGCTGATTTGCAAATGGGCCCAACTTCAAAGATCTCACTAGGTTGGCCTTGGCTCTTTCCAGGAGCGGGGAACCATTCGTGGTATTATTATTATTTTTTAAATTTAATCTTATTTTTCAATCTTTCCAATAGCATCTGGACAATCTTTCAATTCTTGTCTGGTGATAATGAAATCATTAAAAAATGTACCAGAACCCTTTTTGCTTATCTCTGTGCCATTTGGAACATATGTGAATAAATTGAACACCACTTGCTCATTGGTTTTCTTTCTTTTCTCTCTCCCCTTGTTTTTAAATCTCTGTTTGAATTCAGTCACTAAAAGAGCTGGGCATCCGAGCCCAGTATGATGCTGGGAGGTACGCCTCCAAGTCCTCCACATGGCCCTGATCTAGGCAGCAAGCCACAGTCTACTAAGCACATTTTTTGGCTTAAGTGACCTAGAATCTGGGGTCTTTGTTGAAGATTTTCTTTAGGTTCCAAGTTGATTTTATAGCAATAATAGCCACCCTAATTTGAGTATCTCACAAATGGTTCTTAGACGACCGTAGGGAATCCAGCTATGCTCTTGGGACTAGGAGCTAAAATATCTTAGAGCACTCAACATACATCAAAGAACATCTTCCCCTTTCTTGGAAACCACGTTGCCAGCCTTTTCCAGCCACGGGGCCCGTGTAGGCAAGAAGAAAGCAATTCCCACTGGTCCCAAGGGAGGCCGCCCTGGAAGAGATGGGAAAGACTTTTCCAGAAGGAGCTTGCTCCAAAGCATAAAAGGTTCAGCCTCCAGCCTACCACTCAAAAAAGTTTTTAAAGGCTTTTTACAGACACAGTTTAAACCCAGCTGCACTTATCGATCATCGATTTGATTTTGCTTTGTTCGGAGGGATCTGTAATCTGCTTTTAAATGTTTTTGTTCCTGGCCTTCAGTGATAGCAAGTTCTGCCTGAGGCTACTTCTCAAAACTTGTCACTGGAGCTTTCAAGTCTCTGTGAATAACAAGAATAATTTTAATCTGGACCTCCCTCCCCTCCTTTCCCTATCCGCAGAAGGAATTGTTAGAGGAGGTGTCAGAATTTTTCATCAAATTCTGTGGAAACTAAAAACTATAAAAAGGAGTTATATGTCTTTAAAAGAAAAGGAAAAGCAAGAGAGAAAATTCTATTTACAAGGTCAGAGACAGTCAAGTGGATTTCATTTTCTCCAGTACATTCATTTGGTCTCAACAAGTGTTCAACTCCTCAGGCCTGGTGCCTGCTGCAGTTAAAAACTAAATTCCAAAAAATATCCCAATCATAGCAGAACATACTATTTTCACAATAAATAGGTTTTATAGAAACGTTTTTATTTATAGCTTTTAAAGGTTGTCATTGCGCCTTTAATGGCCTTGTGAACTATCAATTTTATGTTCTCTAAACTACCATAAAATAGTGGTGGTTCTATTATTATAGTCTGAAATTATAGTCTAAAATAATATAGTCTATTATTATAGAAACTGTGCTCCTAATTTAACTAATCACTTCTGATATTTCCCAAGCTTATAGAAACCTGTTCTTTGATTTTTTTAATGACATGCACACACATTATTTTTTATAATGTTAAGCATATGCCTACACATGTATGATCTTTATGAGTTTATTTAGCAAGAAACCAAATATGTGAGGAAAACAGACTTTTCAAGTGGCGTCTTAATTGTCTTTCATGCATGTTCTGCAGATCATTACTGAATGTTTACAGGTCCTGCATGGAATGACTTGACACCAAAGAAGAAGGTAACATATCTTCATTGTTTATAAAAATGACAGCTCCTAATGGACCATATTAGCTTTAACACAAACTATTAAATCCCCTTCATTAAATTTCCCTGTGTTCTGTCTCAGCATCTCGTTAGCTCTGGGAAGTAGGTGCAAACTCCGAAGGAAAGCCGAGCACACATTGAGACGATTAGAGACCACGGTTATTAGATAAGCCTCGGGAGGATGTTTTTCTTGGGCGGCTCACAAGCATTTTGAAAGAGTTGTGTTCCAGGTTTGAGGTCCCATGTTTCTTCCTCTTAAACCATGAGCAGCTGCAGCACATGACCTACTTCTGTCGGCCCTGTAATGATTTCCTTCCTTCGGAGGCTTCAGGAGTCCTCCTTCTGCCCTGTGAAAAAAGGGACAAATATTTTAATCCAAGCAAAATGCTAGAGCAGGTTTTGTTGGTTTCAGGGAAGAAACTCAATACAGCTCCAGCGTTGAGTGTAGGCCTCAAATTGGAACCATCTGGGCTGCAGAAGGGCTCCGGGACCTTTGGGGAAGGCAGGGACAGTCTTGCCTAGGGCTACAGCCCATCCACCTGCAGAGATGCCGGCGTCTGGGCAGGCCGCTGACTCCCCGGGGACCGGAGCCTCTCACCCAGCGCTGCCTGGCACTGGCGGTGGTTCGGGATACCAAGCAAAGAAGGGTGACAACCGCTCGGGTGACGACTTATTAAGTAAATATTCCTCATAACGACAGGAATGCTTCGTTATTCTTTTGGAACTTATTTGACACAAATCAGACAGAAGCACATATTTACTAACTATTTCTTTTTGGTGGTCTGGGGAGAAAGCCTTCAGGAAACATAGGTGGGTATACATGATATTTTCCGAGTTATCCTTAAAGCTAGGAAAATAAAAGGTGTTGGAAAAACAACGCATGTGTGTTTTAAGATTCTCTGTCTTCTCATTTTTTTGTTTACAGTGTCATTATTGTTGGCTAAGTTTATTTTCCAACTAAGTGAAAGCATTTCTCCAATGTGCTCTAATATCTAAACACAGAAGATGTAGGCTCGCTCCTGGGAGGTTGTTTTAAATAAAGTATTTTTGAAATTTTTGCCTTGCAGACTCTCCATGGGTGAGGGATGAGGCTATCAACCCATTTTCAAACAAAAAGGACCAGGGTTTTTGCTTAGTCACTGACCAGAAATCGTATCACTTCTTTTTAAAACCAGCTCATAATATATATTCTAGAAAGAAAATGGGACAGAGAGAACAGATCGAAATGGTATACAAGTTGTCCATTTTATAAACACATTTTCCAAATATCGGTTGATGAGGAATATGCCATTTTTAATCTGTTTTAAATTATTTACTGTAGTTAAAAGGATAATTATTGCAGTGTGACCATTATAGAAACCTAATCAATATAACCAAACATGACACCCTGAGCGTGGGAGCCCCACAGCAACCTCAACACAGAGGTCAGTGGGTGATACAGTGAGAAAAGGTGAGTCACTGGGAGAAGTGGCAATTCAGGGAAAATATAGGAGAGGTTGTTGAAATTTTGAATTTAGGTAAATTCTTAGAAGTGTAAATTTATCTGGCTTCTTCTAAACTTTTTAAATACGCCAATGGACCTGACTTTTTTGCTTATTTTAGTTAAATTTATTGGCTCTCTGTCAAATGTAGATAATATACACATAGATAATATATTTAAAAAAATATTTTTAAAAATAAGAATTGTCAGCCCCAATACATATATTTTTTCTCTCTAAAGGGAAAATAGGCATTTCAAAATAATATTTGGGTAACAAGGCTCACAGAACATCCCTCATTTTTACAAAGTTCTAAGAATATAAGGACATATACGGGGAAGGTTTCTGAACGCGTTGTAAAGGGCGAGAAGGCGGCGAGTGCCCCGTTCGGAAGTGTTCGCACACGCACACCTTGTCACAAGCAGGCTGGGAGGAGTACAGGAGGGCTGTGTGCGTAGGGCTTACGTTTTTTGGCCCTCTTCCAAATTTATATGCATGAATCTAACTTTTTAACCAAATCTTTGTTCTCTTTCCTCTTGAAGATGCTTCACGCCCCTGCCCCAGCTTCACCCAGAGACATCTTCCTCCCTCCCACCCCACCAGCGGTACCACTGTTCAGCCACAGGGTCAGACTTAATGGAGCTGAGCACACTTCCTATCAAGCTTCCTGTGGAAAGCCAGTCAGCTGAGACTGGGAAAGGCCACCACCACGCGCCAGAAGCCCCTGGAAGGCAAATGGGTAGCTCGGCATGGGGGCAGTGGCCCTTTCAGGCTATTGCTTTGATACCTTTGATATGGGCTTGGGTTTCTCTAGAAAACTCGGGCACTGCCTCATTCATGTAGCTCCGAGAGAACGCCCACACCCAGTGTCTGGGCCGAGTGGGCCCGGCAACTCCAATGAGTTGTGAATTTCTGAAAAGTATCCATGCCTAGACTCAGAATTTTAAGAAATTCTGCCGCATGTCTTCATTAGTATTTTTCAATGCAGGGTTTGATATCATCAACTTAGCCCCTAAATTAAAGCAGTGAATATAACAATCAGAACGCAACAAAGTCAATGTTATGATAGTTTTATTTGAAAAGTACTGTTCTCTACAAATGGGAACTAATCAATATAAACATTTTACATATATCTATATACATTATTTGAGAGAAAAGCACACCCTATCCTTAGGAAAGGTGAACAGTTGAGAGTGGGCAATTTCAGACTGATTTATGAACTGGGCAAGTACTTCTGATTTAAAAAAAAATTTTTTTTTTTTTGGCTAAAATGGTCGGAGGTGAAGAAGAATGACTTCCCAGCCCTTCACTGCCAAATCTTAACTTTCTGAAAACTTACAGAAATGCTTGATTAAAACTAGAATAAAAATCTCCAGTTGCCTTCAGCAAACCACAGCACAAGGGTGGGAAAAACAGTGCCAGGTTGCAGTTTAAGTATAGTTACTTGGCGCCTGCTGAAAGTACTGCTCCCTTCCTGTTTAATAATTAATTCAACTTTAAAGCCCCAAGGATCTGGACTCAGCACCAGCTTCACAAAGCAGTACAGAAACAAAATGCTTCCAGAACCGGAGGGGGGACAGAGGAAGAAAGAATCTAACATTTCAAGAAACATCACCACATGGGGCCGGTGAGCGGGGGGTGGGGTTTGGAGGTGGAAAGAACCAGGGTGGAGAAACTCAAAATAAAATAAATACACACAAAAGCAAGGTTATTCACGGCCACTGGCGCCGAGACTGGGAGCACACAGTGAGCCAGAAGTCGTCCATTTGGGAAGCAGACTGGGTGCCCGAAGGCTGGTGGGAGCAAGAGGGTAATGGGCTCAGTCTCTGGAAAAGGAGAGACCCGGCCTCCCTCTTCATTAGTGGCCTCTGCTCATTAATCAGAGTATCGCACTGGAAAAGGCTTCAAAGGTAGGCAGTCACCCCTGCCTTCGCCCCCTTTATCCTCCACCCCACCCCCAGACCCACATTCACCTAGCAGGGGATAGCCAGCGAAGGCTCTGATGGGAGGGCAGCCAGGGTGGGAAACGTGGAGACACACACACACACACACACACACACAGCTGAAGGAAGAGGGGAAGGACTTACTTATTGAGTGGTAGCTGCTCTGTGCATTAAGAACAACACAGAAACCAAGCAAGTTACCAGACTTACATATTCAGTTACAGAAGTTGACACCCAACACAGTGGCAGGTCACTGCAAAAAGGAGCCAAACATCCGGTGGGTGCTTTGCACTGTGCTTTGTGATTTTTACAAATCATTTGCTTTTTCTAGGCTGGTGAATCCAGCACAGGAAGTAATACACTGTGGACGCTTAAACCAGGCAGAAGCCACTAACAGCTCATCACATCTTTTATCACAGACAGGTATGAGGAAGAATGTTTCCAGAACGACTGCACACAGACCCACCTGCAACCACACAATCCAGTATCAAACCACACGGACTGTTCTTTTGTATTCCAGGAAACCTAAGTATCCCAAAGCATTGCAAAGAGATGGCGCTCACCAGCAACGAACAGATTAATTATACGAAATGAAGGCCCAGGTAGCAGAAGAAAAGAGGAAAGCTATTTAAACATCAAACTGTATTTACTTTTTGCTTGTTATTGTTATAAAGAAGACATGACATAGAACACTCACACACATCCTCTGAGACCGTAGGAGGATATTTTGAAAAAGACATTCACATAATTAAATGGTTGAGTTGAACAAATAATGACCTGAATATTTTTCCTAATCCCTAAAAAGGGAGGTTTTTAATACTCTACGATTATCAAAGCTATATGGATTTTCTTTATATTTCACTTTATACATAAATTAGTTATAAAGGTTTAAATGACAGCTCCTTCGTATCTTTTTCTCGCACGTCAGACTGCTGGCATTGCCTTGAAAATGCAGCAGCTGCCTTTCAAAAATAAGTTTTGTATTCCTCTCGACTGATCCCTCAAAACTGCCAGACTCAAGTTTGAAACTAGTTTCCAGTTATTAAACAATTTCAAAACCAGAAGGTCAATATGTTTTCTCTATTTTTGAGTCAGTGAATGTCTAGCTGTTGTTTTTTATTTATTAATGTCAAGTTCAAATTCAAGCTAATGTCCTTGTTTTCTTGTGAAGTTCATAGTGGTCGGGGTCAGGGAGGGACCTGACCTCGAGCGAGTTACCTAACCTTGCTGTGCCTCAGTTTCCTGACCTGTGAAAGGGGGATAATCGTCGTTCTTACCTTGAGAGGCTGTGATGTGGACTTCGTGCCACCGTGCCTGTGGGGCGTTCAGCACGGTGCTAACTGCACACAATGCTCCCCTCAGATTCAGGAGCAGTGGGGCCCCCTTGCTTGCCCCGACCCCTACCTCCCTGGACCCTCCTGGGTGTGATTATTTAACCCACTTGGTATGTTCTGAATCCTAGTGTGCTCCCTTTCACTTTACAAAATAGGTGAGTTTAAAGAGTTGTAAATTGAATTTCCATAAAGCCGATCATATTTCCAACACGCAAGGGAGCTTCCTAGTTAAAGGAGCCTCCACAGTGAATCTTTTCTTAGAGTAGCGAATTGCTTGGTGGTGAGAATAATTATCTATCAGCTTTTTTTTTTTTAAACAAATCTAGATATTTCCAGGAGGCAGTGTGTGGTAGTGGAAAGAACACTGAACTACGAGACAAGCCAGCCCCTCGGCTGGTCTGGCCACCAACTGTGTAAACCTGGGCAAGTTACAAGCTCAGGCACAAAGCCATGGGTGCCAGTTTCCACCATAGTTGAGAAGGCATTCACAGTGTTTGCTGTGTAGAGTGTGCCCCGAAAGCACTGTGGGGAAGCCCATTTTTGAGAAGGCAGGGACTCACACCAACACCCAGAGCCCACACTAAATCAGTCCAGACTGTCATGGTGCTGTAATAGAGCCATGAATTAAATAGACCAGAGGACTTATAAGGCCCACCCAGCTGCACAATTCTCTGATCCCCTGTGAATCGTGGATTCACCAACGTCCAGGTTAGTGCTCCAATCACTGGCCCCGCTCACTAACTGTCGACTGTGCCTGGCCTCGTACTGCAATCCACGGGGAACAGGTGGTTAGGTTTGGAAAGTGCCACTGTGGACATAAACGTGCCCTAAAAAAGGAAAAAATGTGACCCTGTGATTAGAAGAGTGGACATCAAGCTTGACTCTGGGGTAACCAACGTATTTCCCAGGAGCATTCTATTCAAAATTTACCAACACAAGGTTAAAATATTTGTCAGAAAACCAACACCTGGGTCCCTTAAACACTTTGTCCTAACTGCCTTTTTGCACCGTGGCTGTGCCACCCTGCCATAGTGCAAGAGAGGATTGGGCTCATTCTTTAACTAATTTCTATTTGTGAATCTCTCCCCTCAATAAGGTTAGACGTCTATTCATGTCCCTTTCAGATTTTTCTCTTCCGGGCTCTTTTAGACTCTTATTTGGGGATTTGCTCAATATCCCAGTCCAAGGAAGGTATTTGAGCAGCACATAATTTTGTTAGTTCTTGATCACCACATTGCTTGAGCATGAAGCTTTCAAAGAAAATTAAAGTGAAAAAAATAAGAGATGGTATTGGTCATTAACTCCACCTCAGGGTGACTTCTTTTCAGGGGCAATTAAATAGCAGCTCTGGGCTGTTAAGTTTAGTGGCTTTACTTGTAGGTGACACCTCTTCTTCAAGGACAACTTCAGCTCAGATCTGCTTTGATTTTACTTGTTGAACCTGAGGCTGCCTCTGCAAAACCAGATTTTATTTGAAATTCTAAGTGTGACCACATGTATGTGATCTGACCTTTCTTCTTTAAGAAACAAGTTTTGCATTACCAGGTAAATGCCCTTTCTGGGGAATTTTCATGGAACACTGGTGACATCCTGTGGTCAGTTTGGTTTAAGACAGCCAGTCTCAGCAACTATCTCAGGGAATAAAGAAGTAAATGCCCCACATCAATCCTAGTTTGTTTTGCAAAACCTATAAGAAAAAAGAAATACATTCTTATTTCTACTCATTTTTATAATATGAAATTCTCCTTTTTTGAGCAACGCAATTTTTCGGTGAATGTGGACAAAGCATGTTCTGGTAATGGGTATTTTTGGTAAAGACAGGTATTTCCTGGAAACAAGTTACAGCTTCATTGAAGCCGAGGCCGGTGCCATGACGCCAGGCGCCGCTCTGCGAGGGTACCTGGTTCTCACCATCTGCTGTGGGAAGTCCTCTGTACCTTGGTTTGACAACTAGTCCTTGCAGGAGACAGCCTTCTGCAAAAGAGCGCACAGCGTGGCTTAAAGGGAAAACAGTAGGTATTTTGGCATTTTTACACCAGTGACAATAAATTGAAGCTATTTAGTTGTAAATGCGATATTACACTTGACGGTTTCCCCTGGCAAAGCACTGAGCGGCCCATATTGAACAGAGCCAAAGAAATGGAACCCGGAGAGCAAAGCCAGTCACTAGAGTAGCCCACCAAAGGGTCTCGTAAAAGCATTTGTCAGTCGTTTAGAATCATAACTCAGCTCCACACTCGTGTACCAGGAGCAACCAGCTCGGTTTCAGCTGCGGAGAGCAGGCAGTGGAGTTTATGTTGTTCTTCTGTTTATTAAAAACGGATGGGAGAGCTTGACAGAAAAATCAAACTTCTGGTCATGGCTCATTAATCCCTGTTGTGTCTGTCAGGGGGATGTGTGTGGAGTTCCAACAAGCCTCTGGAAGTAAGAGCACTGCCGAGCTTTGGTATTTTCTCTAATTTTGAGAAAAAGAGACGCCAATCACCTTGAAGGGGAGAGAAGAGGAGCTTATTTTTAACCCACCTACTTTGGTGGACATTAAATATAAGTTGGTTTAAGATAGAAATGATTATGATGAAGAATTTTCCTGCCAATATTTATCATGGAGCTTTCTTCAGAAGAAGCAGAAAGGTAAAGATGAATGTGGAATAAAGTCTACTATTATGGCTGTTTTATGACAAGCACAGCTCTTGGAGATTAATCCTCAGGGGAATTTTGCATACTCCTTATATCTGCATATGGTCATTGAAGTGTGGCCCTCTGTTAATCTCCAGGTCTTGGCCTCCTCCCTGGAGAGGGACATGAGACTCTGGTCAATTCAGACTGTTTACATCAAGCCATGAGAAAGGACCAGAGGTATTCCAGTCCCTCTGTTGGGAACAATGATCATTTGTAAGACAGCGTACATTTCAAAGCCTTCACTCTGTGCCTGCCGCATCCTCACGGTTGAGAAAGACCCAGGACCGGGAGAAATGCTGCTTCTCCTGCTGATTTGGAGTTTAGGCTCTGAGGTCACATTTATGAATCTCCCAAGGCCTCAGATTCCTTGCATGTAAAAGGCATATAAGGACAATGATTTAGCGTCTACCCCAGAGGATGTCATAAGGATTAAATGAGATAATGAGTGTAAATCACCTAAACACAGCATCTGGCCCATAGGAAGCACTCAGTAGAAGTTGTTCTCAAAATTATTGTTAGTGGCACCATCATCATCGTTCTTATGGACAGCACGGTTTGCTCTCAGTTGTGCTCCCTCCACACTACATTCTCAAGCAACATGTCAGGAGCACATAAGGCGGACTAAGGGTGAGGTTGGAGAAAGGTCCTGCTAGGTCAACTTATTCGACTGGTTGGGGCGGTTATTAAACTGATAATTTTGAACTCTATTCTGGGCTCAGTGCTGTGAATGATGTAGAAAGTTTTAAATGTAGTTTCTGCAATCAATAAACTTAAATCTAATCCATGTTTGTGGATACAGGAAGTCTTCTGTGTAGGCAGTCCTAAGTCAATAGCTTTAAAGCAAAGTCGGTGAAGCCCCTGAAGGGAGAGCAGTGCTGAGTAGAGTGAGAATTAAGAGGGAGCAGGGGATCAAACCCAGCACCTGCTACACATATGGGTTCTCCCCCTGGGAGGTGAGGATTAGCTGGAACCACGCCCTCGAGGGTTTCCAGTAGGTCCCGGCACCCCCTTGTGAATTCCTGGTTCTTTTTAAATTTGGTTTTTATTTAGAAACATACATGGCGGGTCCCTTCCTTTGCCTAATATTCTCTGCCAATGGAGAACTGAAACCAAATTGTCTGAGCACGGAGCAGGTCTGAGATAGAAGTTAGAAGCTCTAATAACCTCTGCCATTGTGGTCCTTCCTCCATCTACCACCTAAACTCAAGTAAGTCCTTTTAAAGAGAGTTACTGAACACCCACAATGGTGAGTATAAACCATGATGCCAGATCTGGCCGGAGATACCCAGATGACATGGCTTCTCCATTAAGGAACCTCCGTTCCAGGCAGAAAGGAGCTTTATTTACACAAAAGAGTACGATGTAAGACAGTAAATGTTAGTGACACACATGAAGAGTCAGCCGAACAGGACAGAGTTCAGAACGGAGAGGAAGCCCATCTGTTGAAAGCGATCAGGAAACCTTTCTGGATTAAGAGATTTTATTTTCACTGGGCCTTGGAAGCCAACGATTAGGATATGGCAAGTGCGGTAGACATGTCTATGAGAGGGCCTTCAAGCAGAGGGACAAGCAGAGCAGAGGCCTGGGGCCAAGACCGCATGGTGTTTATACAAGAAGGAATATTAGAAAACCTACCCAGTATCTGCTGGAAATCTCCGCTTGGTAAAGACAAACAAGCATATTTCAAGGAATGCTTTGCATGGGAAACTTCATCCTGCTAATCTTGTTGGAACCAGTTCATTCCACCAAAAGAGGTGAATCAAGATTTGGGAATCTAATTTACCCTGCGGATTGTATTTATGTTATAAGTCAAACCTGCTCAACCCTCCCTTTCTCACTTGGCCAGAGCAGGAGAACCTAAGGACTGTGGCAGCAGCGTCATCAAGGAGCATTGTGGCTGTGAGCCATGTTTTCAATTTTTATTAGCATTTTTTATTTGCCGACAGCCTGATTTCTTTTAGGCTTGACATAATTTGCATGATTGAGTTAATCCAAGTGTGAAATGCAGTAGGGACCTGATTCGATGGGTGGCCAGACAGGCAGCATTATTAGGACACAAAAGAGACGGAGCAGGGCTCTGCCTCCGCAGGTCCAGGTGCAAACAGACTCCAATAGGACACTCAGACTGATCACAGGACAGAGAACGCTCCAGAAGAATAAACTGCGTGCGCTCAGCATCTGAAATGCATTTTTCAAGGCCCTTCCTCACAAAGTATTTTTCAGGCTAGGCACTGTATTTGAGCTGGGCAAACAGACACTCTCCATGTGACGTCAAATCTCTCAGCCTAACTCCTCTAGCACTCCTTGTAAATGTGATATTTTCAGCACTTTATTTCTTTAACCTTTTATTTTAAAATAATTTTAGATTTACAGAAAGGTCCTACAGAGAGCCCCCATATACCCTTCATCTGCCTCCCTCGAATGTTAACATCACACATTACTGTGGTATATTTGTCAAAACTAAGAAATTAATATTAGTACAGTCTTCTTAACTAAACTATAGACTTCATTCAGATCACCCCAGTTTTTTCACTAATGTCACTTTCTTCGTTTTGAAAAAGGTATATGAGCCCTACTCATTTGGGTAGTTATTTTTAACCAACAGAGAAAACCCTTTTTGATTCCATTTTGCAACCTGACGGCCCTGCTTGACTTTTGGGCTTCTCAGGGTGCAAAGCACACTCTCCACAGAGCCGAGCAGAGCATCCAAGCCCCCACATGCACCCTACATCCTTTCTGGACTTCCTGAGGAGGACGGGTTTTCTGCTCAGCCACTGAGATGGCTCCGAGGAGCAGCTGTTAATCCACTGGCAATCAGTCGATTCTGGCTGGGGAGTGTGGGCTGTCCTCAGAGATCTTCAGACCCAAAGGAAGGACCTCGAAGGGTAGTGCAAGGACATTCAAAGAGGGGGCATTTGGTGGGGATCTTACCAAGCAGTGGTTCTTGCCTTTTTCTTTTTTATTGCAAACTCTTTTAATAGTCATATGCAATCCCTTATATTCTCTTAGTAGTTTTTCCAAATAATTTCACTGTTTTGTGATTTTTAAGATATAAATAAGATTTCATAAGATATTTAAGATATAAATATTTTATATCAATGTTATTAAAATCATATCTTAGGCTTCATATTTTATAATCTTTAAATATTACTATCTATAAGATATATTATCTTAATTTTATCAAGATATAAATGACATAGGATGTTTCATTCACTTTAAAGTAACAATTTAAGAAAAAGCATATTTGTTGATGAATTAATTTTAAAATGATCTATTGTTTCATGCTTGGAGATTGAATGTATATTAAAATGCAGGTTGAGATTTAACCACACATTCCTGTGTCAAATGTACTAAAAATCTAGTTCATGGCCCAACATTCACGAATTTTGCATATTTTTGTCTTTTAAAAATTAACCGGCTTGGGGGCTGGCCCAGTGGCGTAGTGGTTAAGCTCGCGTGCTCCACTTCTGGCGGCCCCGGCTTTGCGGGTTTGGATTCCAGGCATGGACCTGTGCACCACTCACCAAGCCATATTGTGGCAGCCGTCCCACATAAAGTAGAGGAAGATGGGCATGGATGTCAGCCCAGGGTCAATCTTCCTCAGCAAAAAAAAAGAGGAGGATTGGCAACAGGTGTTAGCTCAGGGCTAATCTTCCTCACACACATACAAAAAAATTAACTGGCTTATTTTTATAAGTTACTTTTTTTCTCAATGACAAGATGAGGGAGAATATTTCACACTAATATTTGTAAAAACCTTGCAAATAACACATTGAGTGTATAAATAGTTTTACATTTTTAATTTCCAGTACATTAAAAACCAAACTGCATATATTTTTATCTTTTTAACACTGAATTTTGAAGTACTAGTGACATGGCTGTGTGCAATACAAGACACCCTGCAGATCAATGCAGATAATCTTAAGAGGAATTTGCAGACTCATTGTCATTTTATGCTTCTTGTTAATAACTATTTTGCAACATCAATGTCCCTTAGGCTTCTCTTTCTAGCCAAATAGCCAAATATAAGATTAAGCTACGCTATATGTGACTAAGAATTAAAGTAAGTTAAGCCTGCACAGTGGGGAAAACCCCTAGAGTGGGATGTGTCCAGGTGGGTGACAAACCAGCTGGGTCATTAGCACGCCCGTGAGATCCAAAGTTATCCTTAGGCATGCTCACTAGATACCTATCAGAGGGCTCATCACTGCTGAAACAGGAAAATATTCCAAGAGTTATTTTACCTATTGAATCTAATGCTGTGGGACACTTGCACGTATACCTCAAGCCTCAGGCTGCG